CCCCAAAACCCCAAAACCCCAAAACCCCTTAGACTATAAATAGCTCAGATTTAGTAAAACTATCAATTTAATCAAAGAAATAATCACTCAAAAATATATGACTAGTGTCACACAAATAAACCGGTCTTTCCAGGATAATATAAGTACATTTGAGGCATAGGAAGAGATTTAAGGCAGACATTTCAAATCTAAAAAGCATAGATTGAAACAGAAGATGCAAATCTAAGGTCACAGAGGTGGGTTTCAGCCTGAAAACACCATGAAATGCTTTGGCTAAGCCATTGAAGCAGGTATAGAGGCAATAGAAATAGACGTAAGAATATAGTTTTTAAATTAACTCTCAATTTAGATTTGGCTAACAAATGATGGAGTTCCAATTATTTTACATGGAGGTGATAACGGTGAATTGAATCATCATTTTGAATTTTAAGACACTCACTATATCTTTGAAAAGTCCTACTCAGAATTACTGTAGTATGACTTGGGAGATGGTCAAAAGATACCAACATTAGAGGACCTTATCATATTTAACCAGAAAAGACTGTTCATAAACATCGAACTTAAGGTCCCAAGAGAAGAAAACGTAAAAAGTAGATACAATTACTTAAAATGCTCTGAAAAAATATTTGAGCTTATTAAGAAGCACAATATCAGCTAGAACGTTCTAATATCATCATTTGATAGAGAAATTTTGAAATCAATAGAAAAATTGAACCTATGAAATTTTCAGCATATTGAGACTATTTACCTGATGAATTTCCATCAAGAACCGCTTCCTGAACCTAGTGCATATACAGACTTAGGTCATGGAATTAATGTCTCAAGTAAATATATTACTCAAGAGGTAGTCGATCTATGCCACATGAATGGATAGAAAGTTGGAGTATGGGTTAGCTCTAAAGTTGAGATTGAGAGCGATGTGATGTACGAGAGGCTACTGAAAATGGGTGTGGATTTCGTTTGCTCAGACTACCCATTATCAGTATTAGCAGCTTAGACTAGATATCACGAGATTCATACTCTGATGAATTCTGATTTGGAATGTATTAGCGACTAGTCTTGTTTTTCAGAGACAATTGAAGACATCACAAATTTCGAGTCTGATCAGATTTATTCAGAATCAGGAAGTGAGAAATACTTTATAGATTCGCAAATTAGCAGCAGCAACTATTTGCCTATCTATGAAAGTGAGTGACCTCTATTAGATAGCCTCCAACCTATAGCACTGCAGTATTATAACCAACCATAATTTAAATTCCTAAATTAGTCTATTCTTCTCTATCAACCAAGTATCTTTTAAGCTACATAGTAAAGATTTCCTAGCTTATTCCGTTTGTCTATAAGATGGCGATATTTTAAATAAAGAAGTCTTAGTATAATAGCTCCAAAACTATTGGCTTCTTTCTATAGAAAATTTATGTGATTTATTTTAGATTAATAATTAATTATTTATTAAGAACTTTTATTACTTTTCCCTATAAAACATGGCAGACAATGAGGACGTGTAGAATATATATGATGAAATTGAGATAGACGATATGGACTTTGAGGAGGATTAGGGTAAATTCTTCTATCCCTGTCCTTGTGGAGACAAATTCTAAATAACTATTGTAATCCATTTGAAGTAATTTTAAATTTTAATAGAAAGAAATCATTGGCGGACTTGACATCGCAACATGCCCTAGTTGTTCCTTATAAATTAAGATCATCTATGATGATGATTACTTGAAGGATTTTATCAAAGAAAGAGGTTTAGAACAAATGGTAGAGGCTTATTGAGCTGAAGCTAGAGTCTGACAATTATCCTTAATCGATAATTAGTAACAGAACACTATCAGAATTATAAATAGCAAGGTTAAGGTATTAAAACTTAATTTGATTGAATTTAAAGCTTATTTAGACTTGATTAAACAAATATATATTTTTATTGCTTTATATTCTTGTTTACTTTCAAATTTTCTCGTTGCCTGTCTCTTCTCTTAATTTTTCATAAAAATCTACTGTGCTAGCCCATTATAGCTTATTTTATCTTAATTAGTCGCAGCAATATGACATATCTGGCAGTATCCTTGCGATTGCATCAAAGTAGGGTAGCACCACGAAATCTATAAACCCTATTTGACTCTTTCCTAAATTTGTAGTTTTCCTATCACACAGAAGCGATATCTCTAAGCCCATTGCTTTTTCTTTATCACCCTATAAGAGATTATTACTGGCAAAATGATTACTTGTTGAAAGAATTCTTATACAATTTTGAGCGCCCAAAGTTTGCATAACTCAAAAGGTCTTGCAGGATTTCCCACATCAGCTGCATGCACTAATGCTTTCATAATATCATATTTATGTTTTTCAGTTGGATCATAATCTGCTTTATCAGGCATAGATTTTAACTCCCCTATGAATGCAAAGTGCTTCGTCATGTCTGTGTAAAGAATGTTATCAATAATATATTTTCGCATCTTATTTATTTCATCTGGTCTCAAGGTTTCAAATATGTTGCATCCTTCATCTTCTATTAGAAAAAAGAATGTAGCAGTATGATGATTTTCTAGGACAGCTTGATCGTTATATAGAGTGGCTAACTTTGACTTAGATTTAATTTCAAATAAATTATTATTTCCTGGGTGGTCAACATCATGTGCCGCTGCAGAAATAACTAAGCCTGCAATATCAAATGTTTGAACTCTACAGATTTCTTAAGCTCCACCCATACTCAGATAGAGGAAAACATTTTAAACTACATCCGCAGCATGAATTGGATTATGATAAGGGTTATCACGATACGTTGCCTATAGTTTCATACTAAAGACTTGAAATTTGCTCGCATTGATTCCCATTTAGTTCTCTAAATCAAATCTTTGATACATGTATTGTAACATAAAGTAGAGTGAATTTTTCTTTGTGACTGAATGTAGTTCGAATGCATCAAATTCATTGCTGTTTATTAACTACTCAAATTACATTATATCTTTAGTAACAGGATAATCAGACAATCTGTTACTTTTTGGATCAGTCAGAAGTGCATTGCTGCTCATAAGGGGATTATTGAGGGAAAAGTTAGCATTCAAGAGTACAGTGATCCAGCTATTGATTACACCAGCTTCGATTCCATCATCGTAAGTTATAATTCTTTGGGTCTTTGAAAACCTTCTTGCTCCAGTTGTTGATAGTAAACTATTTGATATTTATAGAAAATCATTCTTAATAACGTGAAGACACCAACTTAGCTCCTAAGGGCCACCTAAGCTATCGTAAATGGAATTTAGAATGTATAGAACTTTATCTTTGTAGGTTTTGAAATTGGATTTCTGAATGAAAATCGGTGCTTAATAGCCCTAAGGATGTTTATTATTATTTCTATTTGTTACTTTTTTTTCGATATGCTGATAAATTACCAACCATATATAAGGAACTCTGATAATGCATCTTAGTCTTACAAAGCCAACAATGACTGGATTTTTCAGGAATATTTCTATTAAAAATAGGGCTATTTGTATTAGAATCAGTAGCATATCCATACATAGCTCTTTCAGACCAATAAGATTGTTCTAAACATATTAAAAACGAAGATATCTAACCTTTGAAGGCTCCTCTTTTGTATAGAGAGCAAGCTGAGCTACGCCTTGAATGAATATTAATAGCAAAATTATGATTTCTATAATGTCATACGGCCTATCATTTGGAGAGTAATTGTTCTCCATTTCATTGAATATTGAGGGACCGTGCCTGTCATAATCATTTTGAATGACTAACAGTCCAATGAAAACATCGATGAAATAAAGCAGTCCAAATAATATAACAATTAATGTGTAAAGTTTGTGCTTATATATACTCGGTTTTTTCTTTTAGTTGAGAGATTAGTATTGAGAAAATGATAGATTCGAGGTAGAGGTAGGCATTATATCGACAGCAGTATTATTGATAAGTAAGTTCTTTTGATTTGATTCTGACCTTGAAGTCATTAAAAACAGTTGTAATTTATAATAAATTCATTCAATAAATAAATCACCCAATTCATGTAGGATGGGGTTTTGGGGTTTTGGGGTTTTGGGG